AAATCAGCTATTATTTCAGAATATTGTTTTAAAATAACTTTTAAAGATTCAAAACGACATGTCCAACGTGTGTTGCCTAATTGCTTTAATGGTATCGGTACCAAACATACTTCTTTTTGAATATCTTCAAAATCTTTATGACGTTTAGCTGATCCTTCGATTAAATTGTAAAGTGATTTCATAACACCAAAATTATTTCTAATAGGCACCACGGCTTGTGCTACATCAATTAAGCATAAATTTAAAATATGTTTATTACAATGAATATACAAGGCAGTTGGTACTATTTGTATTAAACGTTCTGCAACACCTTTATACGTGCCGCGCATTGCGCTAGTTCCATCAAAGCACTGGCCAACTATATTATTAATAGCTAAATCAATTTTTTCAACCATTCTATTAACAAGTTAAATAGACCATCACCAGTTGTGCTGGATGCTCGTTCATAAACATGAAACTGACCATCGGTATATCGTATGACTAATGATACTTGTTCATAACGAGAAATATCAGTTGTTTCATCCATCATGATCGAAAAAAACTTGGCATTTTTTATCTCTAATTCAATCCGAAATAATATATTTTCTTGTAAATAAACTCAACATCTCATTTCCTATCGAATGATGTGCGTATTTTAAAAGACTTTAATTTACTTCTATTTATTTCATTTTCAATACTTCTAAATTGAAGAAGTTCGAGAAGATTGCCTACAAAAAGAGCAAGAATATGATTAGTAGAAAACAGTACACTTTTACACGAATAACTTGTGCTTACTTTTATTTTCCGATTCATCATCTTCTCGATGACCTCGAAATGCTAAACCTTGTTTAGCAAGAAACAAAATAGTTCGAATTATTTCCTTTAAATACATTCGATTCTCTGAAGTTTGTTTTTCATGTTGCTTATTAGCTTGTTTTAAAACGTCATTATGATTTTTATAATTTTCTTCTGCATTAACCCATGAATCATTAGCCTGTTTATGTGATGATGATGCTTAGTGTTTATTGAATTTGGTTATGGCCATTGTCCAATTATCAAATCCATCAACAGTAAACGCTTTCTCGAATCGGCCTTCTAAATAAGCAAAACGACAAACAAAACAAAAAGATTTTCTAGTCATTTCACTAAATTCCAGCCATGGATAACGTTGATACGAAGCACGACACAAATGACGATGATTGTTTGATGGAAATTTGATATTCGGTTGATATGCTCCTAACGATACAAATTCTTTAGCTGTTGATGGATCTCTACCAGCATCTCGTTTCTATGAATCAATTTTAAAAGGAATTGATGGTTCAGAACGATCAGTTGTTGGCGCTGTTAATAAATCTTCACTAGTACGACTTTGACAGATTTCATTTTGATCGTGAAAAATAGAACTTGTTGATGAACAGATCGAAACACCATTACTTCTATTCAATACAACTGTTTCATTTATATTTACAATATCTGGATGTACAGTTGAATTGTTACGTGCATTACATAATTCTTGTAATGGAATTTCTGGTTTTCTTGTGAAATAGTATGAGACTTTACTTTTATCAGACATTTATCAAATATAAATATATTTAAACGTAATAAACAAAACTGTAAAAAATCGAACAAAACACAAAATGACGAGAGCTGATCGAGAGTTTCTCTCTGTATCACAGAAAAGCAAAACACTGGTCTTTATTTTTGTGCAATCAACTGGGTTTGGGTGTGGATGTGGGTATGGGTGTAGATCTTCTCTTCGTCGATACTGACAATCACGCCTACACCCTCGTTAACGGTTTCAAACGGCGTAATAACGATGTAAAACGTCGAAAAATAGCGCTGCAATCCGTCACACCAAATTACGAAAGCAAAACCGGGGGAAAACGATAGACGTTTTCTAGAGGAAAAAACCGCTCGTAAAACAGTATGACGGATTACGGTGAAACAAGATCAAAATTAAGGCAGTAATTCGCCGTTTTCGACGGTCGAAATGATCGGCCTGGTCATTTTCCAATAAAATATTTACGACAACTAGTTTGATACGTTTCCGAGTTACTATTTTAGTGATTGGATAAACTTCTCACTGTGTACTTAGACTAGAAAAGAATAGTCCTTACCACCTGTAAGAGTTTACCTATAAAAAAAAACGATAAACGAAGGATGTGCGAAAATATGTTTTGTTTCTCGATCATGAAACAATGGAGACCGTGTTAATAATTATAAAGCATGGCAAAGAGACTTTTTTGAAAGACACTCGCGATAGCATCTAATAGATCTGAATAAATTCTATCGATTAATATGTTAAATAGATCACAAGAATTAATTTAAGTCTCTAACCATTTCTAGTTCGTTGTATACCCATGCTCTGAAAACAAAAAAGGCTTTATACGAAACTAAAAAAGGGTTTCGTGATATGCACGAAACCCTTTTTAGGTTTCGCAGTTTGTAACTTATTCGAAACCCTCTTTTGGTTTCGTATAGTACTACAAAACCCTCAAAACGGTTTCCTGGCTGCTTTTTGCGTCTTTGTAAGGATTCCGCATGGCACTATGAAACCATTATCAAAAATATATGGTTTTGTAGTATTATACGAAACCAAAAAAGGGTTTCGAATTCGTTACAAAACTACGAAACCCTTTTTGTTTTCAGTGTGGAATAAAATCATGACAAAGAAATCATGTAACTTATATCATTTTAATGAAGCTTTTCTTACAGAAAAATGATGCCGAAAATGAAAAAAATGCCATTTTTCATCGTGAAACGGACATTTTCTTGCATGTATTTCAAATTCATGCATGATTTTAGCAGAAAAATCATATCATGAAAATGATTAAATTTCCGCTAATATCATGCAATAAAAACAATGACATTTACATCAAAATCCTGCCCATAAAACCATTAACATTAAAACAACTCATAGTAGTAAACTATGCGACACTCATCTAACCAAACGAGCTATCTGCAGCGTGAACTGCAAGCACCACCTGAGCTTTTTACAAAGCTCAGGCTAAGTACTCTTCGAGGGGCTGTGTGATGAACTTCGGAAATTTTTGCTTTACCCAAGTCATATAGGTTGATAAGCGTTATTTTGTATACAAAATTTTATCAATTTTACGAGAAATCAGTATCGCACAATATCCCTAGTGTCCTTACACATTGCGTTATTTTTCAAGAAGATATGTGTACCAAGAGCATCTATAAATAATTTGAATTAACTATTTAAATGATGTATTTTACATGAATTTCGCATATGATAAGCATTTTTAATTTAAAATAGACCAATAGTTTGCATTAGTTTGTGCAACGTTAGAAATTCAAAGGTATACGCCCATAAGTAATGAAACTGATCTAATGCTTTAGATTAATTGAAAATAATTAAAGTAGCTGGCTGAAAATGATTTTCAAAAAATGAAGGAATGTAAGTTATTCTCATTTTTCGAGAATACATAAATTCATGAGATGAAAATGGTGCAAAAATAATGAAACTACTGCAATTATGACCGTTTTGTGAAAACATCAAGATTATGTGATGAGAATGATGCAGAAAAAATAGAGCCAACATCATAACTTCTATTTTTCGAGAATACGTAAATCCATGAGATGAAAACGATGCAAAAATAATGACATTATTGCGGTAATTTTCGTTTTTATGAAATAATCGAAGTCATGGAATTTTTTCGATGAAAAGTTCCAAACAACTATTTAAATGAAATTAGTTTGATTTTTTTATTCACTGGATACTAAATATCAGGGGGGGCCCGTGGACACACCGAAAATGCCAAGACTGAACTTCCCGGGTTCGATCATTCCCGACTTCTCTGGATGTCTAATGTAGATCAAAGGATACGAATAACTGCACCCAGTGTTTTAGCTATCCGGAATGCCCGAGCCCGAAAAGTTTGAGTTCGGTGCATAGCTATGAGACACCAGCACGCACACCCACCTCATCCACACACACATCCCGCCCACACCCAGCCTCAAGAAATAATAAGGTATATGGCGAGAAGAAATGATAAGGAAAGAAACGCGCATATAGCGAGAAGGAGTGGCAAGGAAAGGTGAACGATTCATTCAACCAACGAGTGAAGGTAAAGAGTATCACATCATCAACTCCATCAGGAATGTTACATTAAGGTTTTGGAAAAACAACAAGTTAGGGTACTCTTGACTGACCACTCCCATATAAATACGCTCATAGTAAATGAAATTGGTTTGAAACAAGAGAAAAGAGTTGAAATATTGTTTGCATAAATTTATTTATTTCTGATGCAGCTTAAAAATATTCTTTGAAGGTCCAGATCACTTTGAACTTTGAAAAACATAAAACGGATACATCTCTGATGTATACCGATAAGCACATTGGAGTGCATCAATTATGGATGTGCGGTTCCAGTTTACTATCACTGATGCCGTCGAGGATGAGATAACTGTAGTCTTGATGATATTGGCGTTGGTGTACAATGAAACACCGACTATTACGGGTATACCAAACATATCCTAATATCAGTAATCGTCGATGTCCTAGTGTCATCAGCACTCCAGTTTACACTGATGCCAATGTAGTTACTGCTACTGTGAACTCACTGTTGATAACTTCAATGCTAATATTTTAGTACTTAGATCAAAATCGCACATTCCTACTATGGACGAAGAGTTTGAATACGGGTATGAACCTGGAAGTGGGTGTGGATGAAGTGAAGATCCACTATGGTAGAATTTTAGAAGTGTGGTCTTATGCGTCGGGTAGTGAGTAAGATATTTTGCCATTATGTTTATCCACTGAAATGGCTGATCTAGGATTTTTATAGTGGTATTAATGACCATGAAACCTGTTTTGAAGTTCACTGGAGGTAATTTCAGTTAATTTCTAAGCCTATTTTTATAGGGAAAACCCAAAACTTCCTTTTTGCGGATGGGTGGGCTGCCGTCATCTGTACCCTACAAGATGTGCCGCTGGTCATCTGAAAATGATATTACTCTACCATGATATCGTCAAATTTTTGTATTTTCTCCATTGTCCTTCTTATTATTTCACGCTCTATATAAGCTCGTATTCTATGTGAGACTTACGCACTTGGTGGAGGAGAATGGTGCCTTTCTTCTGTCATTATCAATGATGTACTAATGGCAGTCAAAAAGTTCTGTCACTTCGCTATATCTATTCAGGGAAATGACATTTCATTCATCTCTCTGCACGATATATTCGAGGTAGCTGGTGTGATATTCCATAGGACGTTTCATCCTTTTAGCTCACTCTTGAGATATTCTTTTGAAGTAAACAATGAATATTGAATGAACCTCCTTGGTAATTGCTGAAATTTCACTAGTTTTTGTAGCCCTTAACAATTTAGAGAAACTTATAATTGTGAGCAGATTTTATGTGACACTATTAGTGGCTATCAGACTTAGATCTATCATCGCAATATTGGATGAAAATCATTGTCAAACACTAGATCAACAAGAGAAACTAGTCTTCCCAGCGACATTTATTTAAAAATGATAACATATGTCAACTTGTTTATGACGTTGGAGCCATTATCTATCATAGAGTGGTTTCTATCGTGACTATCAATAGTATTTATATTAGTGATAAATGATTAAATTCAGAAATAAAAAAAGGACAGGGGCGCATAAGAAGCCGATTTGGCCCATACAATATTTTCAGTCACTTTACTGCCCATCCTATTCAGAAAAATGTGGTGATACTTTTGGTAATAATTTCAAGTGAAGCTGTAAGGATTATAAGCCACTTTGAGGGAGAATGCCTGCAAAAAAGTATTGAAGTTTCAT